GGCTGGAGCACGCTGTTTGCTGACAAGTCCGCCATTCATGGCACAGCCAAGACGCCATTCTCCGCGACCATGCGGCACAAGAGGAGCGAGGCCAAGCTTACGGCTTCGAGGCCGAGCCGTGGATGACGGCGAATTGCTCTCCCGAGCACGGAGCGGCTACACTCCGAAGCGTCAGGGAGCCAAGACCAGGTAGCTCGCCGTTGACTATTGACAGACATTTGAGATACTTGGTGCTTGTGTATTTGAATTCGGGAGGATCCCGCCACCATCATGAAGCAGCCTTATTCGTGGCCCAAGACAAGAAGCAAAAGCATCTCCGTCCATCAACGGACCTGCCCGTGTCCAAGTGACACAAGCTCAATTCACTACCCGCTCGTCAAATCTTATTTTGGCCCCATGCTCCCCGCAGCGGCTATTTCACATTTCGTACATTCGAACATATATATGTGTGTGTAAACAATCTTCTCTGCCGACCTTGCCTCCTTTGCTTCATATGACAAGGCATTCTACACTCACAAGATCAACTCCTTCGACCCTAGACGGTACAGCTTTTCTCACTACCGGCACCAAAGCAAAGACTTGTCACCAGTATATATCCCAGCAATGTCGAAACATCTTCCTCCTGGCGTCAAGACCATTGGTCCCGACGCAAACTGCACACTAGATAACTGTCCCGCCGAATGGAGCATCTACGGCTTCCGACCGTCGCTGGCCGCTAATGCCACCTTCCTCGGTCTGTTTATTCTGGTCGGCCTTGCCCATGGGTATCTCGGTTTCAGATGGAGAAGCTGGGGCTTCATGGGAGGAATGATTCTCGGATGCCTGAGTGAAGCCATTGGCTACGCCGGCCGCATCATGCTCTACAACAACCCCTTCTCCTTTGTCGGCTTCATGGTCCAAATCGGTAAGTTCTACACAAGTCGGCGGCGCCTGTTTCGCAGGCCATCTAACAGCTGGCAATAGTCTGCCTCACCATCGCACCGGTCTTCTACACCGCGTCCATCTACGTCACTCTCTCCAAGACAATAATGTATTTCGCCCCGGACCTATCCCGCTTCAATCCGCAGCTGTTCTACTGGATCTTCATCCCCTTTGATGTCATCTGTCTTATTCTCCAGGCCGCCGGCGGCGCCATGTCTAGCAACTCCAACGGCGACGATCGGCTCGGCGTCAACGTCTCCATGGCCGGTCTGGCTCTACAGGTCGTTGTCCTGACTGCCTTTGTCGTATGCTTTACCGACTACATGGTTCGATATATGCGGTCTGGCCGCGCTAGAAGCTTTGGCTGGCGCCTTAACGCCTTCTTCCTCGGCTTGGCCTCGTCTGTCCTTCTCATACTTGCCAGATGCGCATACCGTGTCGCCGAGTTGAAGGACGGGTACAATGGAAGCTTGATCCGCGAGGAAACTCCCTTTATCATCCTTGAGGGTGTTGTGATTGTGCTTGCTGCCACTGCGTTGTGCTTCGGTCACCCTGGTCTCGTTTTTCCCCGGGATGAGCCTACGAAGAACTCGCATGATAGTGAGGAGAGCGGCACCAGCACTCCTGAGCGAAAGTAAGGAGCTTTTTCGGCCTGGAAAAAGTAACGTGATTTCCTTGGCTTGCCTTCCTTTGTCTACATTTTATCAGCGTGGGAAGTTCGGGCTTAAATACCGCCTGGAGTGGTTCAAAAGAGCGGATTATCCATGTCAATCATGACAAGATGCACTAGTTCAAACAGGGTTGGGTTTTCCTTTCCTTTCCTTTTTTTATTTTATCAAGGTCGCCATAGCTGCTCAGCAGCACGTGTTTCTTGTTTTCCGTTTGCACAATGTGCCATGCAATCGTACACATTTACATGACGGCTATGCTTTTGACGATAGACGGGGCGTTTGGCAGCTGGATACCTGTGGGATGGAACAAGAATCGCAAAAGTCATTCAATAATGCTTACATCTCGGACGGTGCTTCAAGTGGTCTATGCTTTTTTAAAGGGGAATCTGTGCGTATGTACTCCGTTCTGTGCCGTCCTTCGGCTGCGGCGGCGCCACCCGGAGAATGTACGCTCGGGGCCCACTGCCGACGCTGGCCGGGCTAGCTGCATCAAACGGGCCGGTAAGGAACCAGACTGTTCTTTGGCATGTTGGTTCTTGGGCATCAGGACTTGATCTGGATTAATTTCTACTAGAGAGAACTAATTTGCATGTATTTGCCGACTGGCACCATTTAAGATGCCCTTGAGTCATTGGCTCGGCTCAATGCGGGGAACGGAGCAAGCACAGGCAACCACCTGCCAGTATGTACAGTCCCCCCCTGAATGTTTCTTCATGCGTGACCTAATAGGGGGGGTAATAACCAATAAAAAATAATTTTATAAGAGAAAGGTGGGTATTAAAAGTACCTGAGATTTCCCGAGATTTTTTTAGTAAGTTAAGGTCTTTATCGTGAACCCTGTAAGCCTTCTTAACATATTACCACTTAAAATATGTAGATCATAGATAGTGTACTACCCCCTGCTTATAGCTACCCTGTCAGGTCACTCGTGTAGAAACATACAGGGGGGGTATTGTATTGTAAGAACTCCACATGACGGAGTGTCCCCCAACCGATCTTCCGACAGCCCACCAATCATCAAGAGGCCATCTCGTCCCACCCGGAAACGTCCACCCGTTACGGAGTAAGTTACCAAACCGAGGGGGGTAAGACTTCGTCCAGCTTTTGGCGTGTTTCCTTCGTCCTTTTCCCCCTCTACCCTTCATGCCTCCGCGAGTGCTTGTCGTGCCCACAGCTCTGCTTCGTCGTTCTGTTACTCCTTACCAATCACGCGAGCTCATTGCCCAATCTCGAACCCCTTCATTACATAGCTTCTCGACAATCTCGCCCAACATGGGCCCGCCCAAGGCTGCGCTTGACTTTGTTGACTTTGTCAATGATTCTCCTACTCGTAGGTTATTTCTGCTACATAGTGAATCGGAGGTCTGGGGGGTTGCTGGAGGCCGGTGATGGGATTTGGGGGTCAGCCCGGCCGCAGCTGTGACCAGACTACCGAGTAGCAGGCTTTGGTTATCACTGGCGAGCAAATCAGTCGCTAACTTCTGCTCCCAGCCTACCATGCTACCCAGTGCGCCGCCCAACGATTCGAAGAAGCGGGCTTCAAACTGATTCGTGAGCGCGATTCATGGACCCCAACCGTCCAACCCGGCGGCAAGTACTACCTAACCCGCAATGGCTCGTCCATCGTGGCCTTTGCTGTCGGTCGCAAGTGGCGCCCTGGAAATCCAGTAGCCATTGTCGGTGCTCATACCGATTCCTGCTGCTTGCGCCTCAAGCCCGTTTCCAAGAAGAGCAACGTCGGTTATCTCCAGGTCGGTGTCGAGGCATATGGTGGTGGCATCTGGCACTCGTGGTTCGACCGTGATTTGAGTATCGCCGGCCGAGTCCTGGTCCAGGAAGGAGACAATTTCGTACAGAAGCTCATCAAGATCGACAAGCCCTTGCTGCGCATTCCCACACTGGCCATTCACCTTCACCGACAGTCCAACTTTGACCCCAACAAGGAGACTGAGCTGTTCCCCATTGCCGGTCTGGCCGAGGCCGAGCTAAACAAGAGCTCCAAAGACGATGCACCCGAGCAAACCGACAAGGACGAGGACTTCAAGCCCCTCCAGAACATGGCCGAGCGCCACCACCCTGCTGTCCTCGATGTTATTGCCAGCGAGCTCAACTCCAATGTTACCGACATTATCGACTTTGAGTTGGTTCTCTATGATACCCAGAAATCTTGCATTGGTGGTCTGAAGGACGAGCTCATTTTCTCCCCTCGCCTGGACAATCTAGGCATGACTTACTGCTCTGTCATGGGCCTCATTTCCTCCGTCAGCGACGACAAATCTTTGGACGATGACTCGACTATCCGCATGACGGTCTGCTTCGACCACGAAGAAATCGGCTCCCAGTCCGCCCAGGGTGCCCATTCCAACTTGCTGCCATCCGTTATCCGCCGTCTTTCCTTGCTACCCAGCAACCGAGATGCCTCTAGCGACGGCAGCTATGAGGCTGTGCACCACGAGGGAGAGGATACCGCCGCCTTTGAGCAGACTCTATCCCGATCATTCCTCGTTTCTGCCGACATGGCCCACGCCGTTCACCCCAACTACGCTGGCAAGTATGAGTCCTCGCACCAGCCCGCCATGAACAAGGGCACTGTGATCAAAATCAACGCAAACCAGCGGTATGCCACCAACTCACCTGGCATCGTTCTGGTCCAGGAGTGTGCTAGGCGGGCCGGCGTGCCTCTCCAGCTTTTTGTTGTGCGAAACGACTCTGCATGCGGTAGCACTATTGGACCCGGCCTGGCGGCCAGGCTGGGTATGCGGACCCTCGACCTGGGTAACCCACAGCTGAGCATGCACAGTATCCGTGAGACGGGTGGTGCTGCTGATGTTGAGTTTGCTGTAAAGTTGTTTGATGCCTTTTTCACCAGCTACGGGCGTCTGGAGCCCAAGATTCTGGTGGACTAAATTCGCGTAGAGGATACATAGCATGAGCTAGCGAGCGAGTGGGGTTTGGGTGGTGAGAGAAGGTGAAGAAGCCGATTTACGCGCACATCTTGTAATGAGATGATGGGACATGACAATTTTACCAAATGATCCAACATGAATAAGATGATTTTGTCTCCTCATGCACTGCCCTTGACGGATTTTTTTTTTCTCTTTGGTTCGTTCCATGCTCCACATGTATTGAGATGTACTACTACTACAACAGTAAATTCTGCAATGCCATCAAGTCGTATCCCTTGCCGTTCCTATGCGCCGTACACCAACCCAGTGTCTGAACCAGCTGGTCCAATGCAGTTTTTTTCCCATAACACGTTCCCTGACAAAAGAAAAAAGAAACCAAATGCTCAACAAAGGGTCTATAACCCCCCTGCTCTCTCTCATCGCCCCCAAATGCCAAGACACAGCAGAAATATCCCTCCTCCCATGCCAAGCAAAAGCCCCGAAAAGGATGAATGTCGACGCCTCATGACTCGCCCCTGGCCAGACTGAGAAGCCCGCTCGCAGCGCCCTTTGGCAGGGTACTCCGACCAGGTGAGGCCGTGCTCGGCGAGGCCAGGGACTCTTGTGGGCCGGCAGCGGCAGAGGCATGCCCGTGTTTCTGGGACTGCGGCGGCGACTGCACGCGGACGATTTTCCGAGGCAGCGGTTTCCGCTGAAGGTCGGCCAAGGGCACGGTGGTCTGCCCCGTGCGGACCTTGTAGCTCGCGAGGCCGAGACGCAGGCGCAGAATGGCCGCTTTCTAACAGCGTCAAGGATGGGCTGGTCAGTATTGGTCCTGGTAGCAGTCTGTGTGTGCGTTTCCGCCAGGGCTCTCTCACCTCTCTTGCTTGCTCCCGCGTCATGGTGCCCCTCTGCCGGGGCGCCAGCAGGGCCGGCGCGTCGGCGACAATGCCCGCGTCGGGCTCGGTGGCGGTCGTGGCCCACGAGGAGTCGCCTTCTGCGGCCGAGGTGTCGAAGAGGGAGGGCGAGTCGGGGGAGCTTGTTCTTGAGCGGCGCGCGTCCTGGGGCCCGTTGTTCAGCATCTGATTGCCAGGGGGGCAAGGAGGGTTCTCACGGTGGGGGACACGTACCTCTTCTACGCACGTCTTCTTGCTGCCGCCGGGCGAAGCCAGCTCCTCGGCGGGCCGCTTGGTGCCGCTGGTGGTGGTGAAGGAGGAGGAGAGGCTCTTCTTCAGAGGGGACGAGCCGCCGGTGAGGGGGATGACTGGGACGCTGCCGTCTTTGGGCATTTTGGGAGACGGCAGGGACGGCTTTGCGTTCGCGTCGAGCGGTGCCAGCGGGGCGCGTTGCTTTGCGGGAGAGCCGTGCATGGTGGTTGTGTTGACGTCGTGAGTGAGGCGTAGGAAGACGAGCACGGCGTGTTGGGGGAGAGGGTCAGAGCCGCGCTCCGGGAGAGGCAAACCAACCCAATTGGAGCTGAGGGGGACGGGCCGTTGGGGAAGAGGAATAGTTCGGCCCTGGTCTATCGAGGGACAAGAGGTAGGAGCAGGTGAGGGCGTGAGGAAGAACAGGTCTTGTATGAAAGGTAGCTTGAGAGACGGCGTGGTGTTGTGTGCTCATACCGGGCTGGTGGTTATTGTGGAGGAAGAGCGCCTGGCCCAAGCCCACATGCCGTCGCCGCCGCCGTTGCTGCCCCCTGTCACATCAGTCACGTCGCGCGAACCACGACCAGGACTCGGGGTCCTTGGGAATTGGGACTTGCACGGTACGCCACAATTTGTCCCCCAAGTCTTGGTATTATTTTATTTTATTTTTGTTTAATAAAAAAGAAGGAGGGGGACATGTCTCAACTGACTATTCTTGATAAAGCCTCACATGGTTGATTTTGCTATTTCTTCAGTTTGGCGTGTATATTGCTGGAGGGAGACACGCGCTTCCCTCTCGTCGGGCCCCCCACACGCGAGCCAGCGTTTTGTGTCTTGTACTTCGTACGGAGCAGACGAACCAAGAATAAAATGCATAGCGAGTGTCTCTTTTCAGAAGCGGGCCTTGGAAGACCCTTGTTATTGTGTTGTATTTACAACGAGAGCATGGTCAATTGGGTATTGCAGGTAGCCTGGCGCGCTGCTATTTACCATTCTACGACTGTTAACCTTTTTTTTTTTTTTCGGCTTCATTTCACCTACCCAGGTAGTTTAATAGTAGGTTGCATTGGAAGCAAACCAAGTTGGGATGGGAACGGTTGGACCCTTGTTCTGATGTCATGGTCCTGGATTTGGATTTGTTGCAGCGCGTTGGTGGTGGTGGCGGCGCGGCGCGAGGGGATCCCTGGCTGCAGGACGGAGATGGTGTGTTCATGCCGTTTTCCTGTGTGTTTATTTTGTTTCGGCCGGGTTGGGAATTTTTAATTTCGCATTGCATGGCTTTTTTTAATCTGCCGGCTGATGTTGGGGGCGGGGAGTCTGACGTCGCGTGTTCCATGTGCGTGTGCATGCTGATGGGCAAATGCCAAGTGAAGCCTCGAGGTGACGGAACGAACTACAGTCTGCGGCGGGATGTGTTTGCCGATTGAGAAGCACGCAATAATGTCAACGGTACTATAATATATTTCAGTATAGAGCGGCGATAAACCAGGTGCCTGAGCTGGTTCAATACTTTTTGCCTCTCACTGAGGCGAGCTGCAAGGTTAAGCTGCTAGGAAGGTGCGTCCAGCCCTCAACACCAAAAAGGCAGCATCGTGACGATCCACAAAAATACGTACCGGCCTTGATTTTCTTCGACTGCCTTGTAATTAGATTAATTTAAGGCCTTCTAATCCAATCGTAGGATAGCTTTTCGCAAGGTCTGCGACCTGTAGTTATAATAGCGAAGTAGCTCGACCAGTCGTGGACAGAACGATGGAACCAGGCCACAGAGCCAAGTCACCACATGACAGTCACAGCAAGAATAGAGAGAGACAAGAGCATATGTCGAACCCAATTTTTATTATAAGGTGCCGAAACCATTTTTCCAACAAAACAGTGAACCCAAAATCCCAAATTGTCCCAACCCAAGGGGTATCAAAGCCAAGTTTCCAAACGCCCATGTTCCCATTCCCAAACATCCCAAACGCCAAACATGCCATGTACTTTTTGTACTGGACTTGAAAATGCGGGAAAAAAAAGCAAAATGCCAATGACGGAAGCAATGATGCTGAAAAAAAAAACCGCCATGTACCCATCTCCCAAACATGTCCAACGCCATACCATGCCATTCCCAAAACCAAAAAAGTCCTCCACTCAAAACACCAATTAGAAATGCCATGTACTTGTAGTACTGGACTTGATAGAGAAGACGGGAAGAAAAGCGAAATGCCAATGACGAAAGGCAATAGTGCTGAAAAAAAAAAGGAACCAAAAAAGGTTCATTGAGTCGCCGGTGAGTCGCCGCCATCTGGGACTCCCTCATGCCAGACGGCCTCTGGAGGGAGGAGGAGCGGGAAGTTGACTGGGGTCCTGAGACCTGGCCGGGCAGCACGCAGTTCTTCGGGCGGCGGGCCGCGTGCTGCGACTCGTTGGGCTTCCTCCTCGGCATCGATCTGGCGGAAGGCTTCGAGCAAGGCCATTTCAATATCAACTCCTCCTGTGGGAGGATGTTGCTGCTGTTGCTGCTGTGGCTGCTGTTGCTGTTGCTGCTGCTGTGGCTGTGGCTGCTGCTGTGGTTGGGGCGGCTGCTGTTGTGACTGCGCTGCTCGCCGTGACTGCCTTGGCTGCCTTGGCTGCCGGGCCCTTTGTGGCTGTGGACGTGGTTGTGGCTGTGGTGGCTGCAGTGTCTGTGGTGGTGGTTGTGGCCACTGTGGGTTCCGCGGGTACCCCTGATAAGCGTGCGACTGCTGCTGCGGCTGCTGTGGATACGGCTGCGGTGCCGGGTATGACTGCTGCGGTGCCTGGTAGTGGTAGTGCGGCCACCCCTGATGCTGTGGCTCCGGCTGCTGTGGTAGGAATGCCGGCAGTGCTGGTGGTTGCCGCGGCTGCCAAAAGGCCTGGGGGTATGTGTTGCAGGGCTGCTGCCAGCCTTGGTGTAGTCCCTGCTCCCACATCTGTTGCATTTGGTGTTGCTGTTGCATGTGGTGTTGCTGTTGCAGCTGTTGCTGATATTGCAGCTGCTGTTGCTGCTGTTGCTGTTGTTGCTGCTGTTGCAGTTGCTGCAGTTGTTGTTGGTATTGCAGCTGTTGTTGATGTTGTAGCTGCTGTTGCAGTAGCTGCTGCTGCTGTTCCCGTTGTTTCTGTTGTTGTTCGACAAACATGACGTCGTCATCGGGTAATGGCTGTCCCTCGAAATTGTACAGGTTCTGACCTGGGGCAAAGCCGTTGTCCGCCTGAACTTGATGGGCCTGGGCGGCCGGCAAGGCCGCAACGCTCATGTCCAAGTTGTTGTCCATGTTGTTTGTAGAAGAGCCTTGTGTGTAAAGGAGGTCTTGTCTGTAGGAGAACCTTGTGTGTAGGATAGGCCTTGTGTGTAAAAGAGGTCTTGGCTATAGAAGAGGGACTTGGTTATAGAAGAGGGTCTTGTGTTTGCAGGAAGAGCCTTGTGTGCAGAACAGCTTGTTGTGTAAAGGAGATCTGTTGAGGTGGTTCAAAGGTGACTTGTTCAAGGAGCAGCCAGCAGTAAGAAGCGTGAACAAGGCGGCAAGTTTGGATGGGACTGATTCGACACCGTAAGGAAATCCCTCTGCAATTTATACAAGTCGACCGAGGAGACACGTAGTCCAAGAATCCGAAGCAAATAGAATCTTCTCGTCTGAATCTTGAGAGAGTTTGCCTAATAAAACTATCACGAAGGGGGGAAAGCATAATTGCTAGCACGCTGACGACTTCCAATAGAGTCTTCAGAATCACCGTAGCCAATAAGGCTAACATTATACCTTGCAGGAGGACTATGGGCCACGAACGGCTTCCACAGTCTGGCACAGTGTGCAAACGCTAAATCGGGTCGATCCAAGACCAGGGGGTATAGGACGACGCAGCAAGATACTTTCTGCCTGGGGAGCAAAAGAACATGGACGAATGCCATCAGGACGGCTGGTGTTTTCCCAGCCACAACGCTTCCATCTGTGCAAAGCCAAATGTCTCTGAGCAGCAGACTCGAAACAAACCACTCCCCCTTTCCGGAGGGACGATCGGGTCGAGCCGTACCTTGTGTACTCTCACAATGTGGAATCTTCCGCAACCCTGCCAATCAAAACCATGGGGGGAGTACGGAGTAGACAGGTAACGTACGTAGAGCACAGTGCCAAAAAACAACATGTGAAAAAGTCAAAAAAGGCACAGGAATGCATGGAACAATTCCACGACAACTTCACTACTCTGCAGTCCACAGCCGAAAAAAGCTTTTTTCGACTAAGAAAGCTAAGACGGTGGCAGACAAAGAGTGTTTTAATGAAACTACATATCTTTATGTATCGTAGCGTACTGTGATATTCTACAAAAATCAATGCACTGTATTAGTGTACAGTGCAAGTGTGTCCTATCCAGACCCTAGTCGTTAAAACACGTGGTTGAGTACATCGTTTCTCGTTGTCGTTAATGTACTGTACTCACCTACAGTCTGTGGCAGAATATGTTTACCTACCAAGAAGTATACACTAATATATTATCATATATTATAATACAAAGCGTGATAGCCAGGTATCTGATCTGGTTAAATACTTTTTGCCTCCCACTGTACGTACGGAGTAACTACTGCTGGGTACCTACTGGCAAGGTCCCCTGTAAACTTCACGCCAACTTCAGCGAATCATGTTGCGCCTCATCGCTGTTTTGGGTAAAACGCGTTTCACAAGGCTGAATTGAAATAGTTACCCACATTACTCCGTACGGAGCACACGCTCTACATTAAGTAACTAGTGGAACTCATCCTTGGCAGTACCATGCCGACTATCCAGACCCTTATTTCAGCTTTGGTGGTGTTGTATCGCTGCTACATCCCAATCTCCTCCCGCATGCTTTGTCCTCTTGATGCATCATTGTACATGACCCATGACTCAGACGCAGCACCCAAACTTTGTCGGGCTCGTCCTTCTTCTTAGAGTATGTAACCACCATTAGCCAGACAGCGCCAATCACGCACACCCATGGCCTCTTCCAGCTCCACGCACCACCATAGGACTTCTTTGGCTTTCTCTGGCTGTCCACTCTCTTCGTGTGCCCGCGCCAGGGCAAACCACGCATCAGAATTGTCCCATCCAGTGCCCAGGCGGGTCAGCCCCGAGAGAAGAGTAAATGCACGCTCTCTGGCAGCAAGGCGATCTAGTAGTGGTAGATGCGTGGCTTTGTACGGTGCGGGCAGCTGGTCAGGCTCGTTGCTGGCAGCAGCGTCATCCATCTTCAACAGCGGGACACGGTCCGTGATGGACGGCTCCAGTCCGAGAGGCGATGATGGTAGAGTACCTGCAAGTCCGTCATGAAACCCTTGGCTGCATGACTGGAATGATCCCCTCTCATTTTGGTACAACCCGTCTAGGGGCGGCATAGTCGAAGGAGGAAGCACCTTCTCGCTGAAAATGTCCAAGAGAATGTTAGATAATCCAACAGTAGCCGTAGGGTGGTCAGGTGAGTGCGTGAGGGCTACTTCGAAATCCGATTTGGCTTCGTATGGAAGACCCCTTGCGACGCCCAAGAGGCCGAGCTAGACCTTTTGTTAGTATGCTGCTTGCTGTAGATGAGACACGAGGGTACTTAGCAAAAATGCATACCTCAGACCAAATGTCACCCCAAAGGTCATCGATGCTCCTTCTCTCAGCCCAGCCAGAAGCGCCTTTTGTTGCACCTGTGCTGGATGGGTCTCTTGCAGCCTCGGACTCAATGCCCGTCAGTAGCTTCTGAGCCTCCAGAACTGCAGCCTTGCCATCGTCCAGCATACCGGCACGACGGTAGAAGCCAGCGATGGTGAGCCAGATCTTGATCAAGAGAGAAATCTTTTGAGCCTTTTCCTTCTCCTTCGGGAATTGCACAAGAGGTAGTACATTAGGGGAGGCATGAGTAACGTCGATTGTCAGTTCCGTAACGTCAGATGACTTCGATGTAGCTGTCATGATGGAGTGCATAGATGATATAGGCTTGCCTCGGCTGGAGGACGTCGGCCGAGCAGCCGCCAGCTTATTCAAATTGAAAAAATCGGGCGAGTCACCCTCTGCAGTTGGAGTAAAGAAAGTATCCCCATCAACCACGGTAGGCTGGTGTGTGACTGCAATGGCCGTCACAGGTCTAGGCCGACTACCACTTCTGTCTCTCTTCTTCAGACTATTTCTTCGTCGTGAGTCGCTTCCATGTCCAAGGCCGGTGCTGCCACGTCGTGAACCATTGACGGTGTCCTTCTCGCCAGTTACCTGGATTGCCGGCGCTGCTATTTGAGAGCTGTGGGATGTTACAGGTCGTGAGGTAGCCACTCCTGACTTCTCGCTCACGGTACTGATGCTCTGCTGCCTTGCCGGTGATCTCGATCTGTCCACCTTTGCTCCAAAGATGCTTCCACGAATGCTTCTCATGGTGCCCGACGTTTTTGGCGGTAATGAAGGAGCAGGCGAGGCAGCGGTTGGTGCGGCCGAGAGCGTACCAAACAGGCGAGAAAAGAGTGAGAGAAGTTCGTAGCTGGCGTTGACAGCTGCGTCCGGTCCCTCAACTACTTCAACAAGAGCCAGTTGTGTCATCTTCACCTCCAAAATGCTCTCCTTCTCCGAATCGTCCATGTCGTCAACCAGACCCCGAACAGGACCTTCCAAAGTTCTGTGAGCATCGAGGTCTTTGAGATGGTCGCTACGGCAATTTGCATCAGGCTTGCCAAAGAGGATAGTAGAGTCTTTGAATTGGTCCAATGCGCCTTCACAAGCTCGGGCAGCCATGGTATAGTCCTGTCTGGCACTCAACAACAGAGCCAATAAATGCCACACGGGAATGAGCGTTCTCTCCTGCCAGTACGGCCCATGGTAAAGACTGTAGCTTTCCTCATGGCCCTTGTTGCAGAGCAGAGCGGAGCGCACGAGTTCAATGGCAGCCGTAAGCTCGCGTCTCTCAGCAAGCAGAAGAGCAAGACTGAAGAAGCTCCTGATGTCTTTGGAACGACCAAACTCTGCGGCTAAGGACTTACGAAGACAGCGTATAGCCTTGGACTGGATCTCGGTTATCGAGGCTGCTTCATGGGTAATTCTGGACCAATGAGCATGAGATAACCCGATCGCCTGCCAAGCCAAGGCAATAATACTTGGTGCAACATGTGCCCTCCACTCGTTTCTTGATTCATTATCATCAGAAGGCGGGACACCATTCTCGGCGGATTTTGTGTGTGACAACTTGGACAACTGGTCTTCAAGTTCGGCGCCAAGCTGTCGGGCCTTCTCTCCTGCTCTCTGGTGGCCGTAACGGCAGAGTGCCATGACAGCCTGCGCCATGGTTTCTAGCACGGTGCCATCATCATCCAAGCTCACTTCTTCATGACCTGTCTTTTCCACTCGGGCCTTGCCCTTCTTCACAATCTCCAGATATGAGTCAAACGCTTTGAAAGCCAGGTCGAATTCCGCCAAGGCCAGGTGGACACTAAACAGAGATCGCAAGATTGAGGTAGAATGGTACGTTCGGGTTGCGGCACTGTATAGCGTCTCGAGAACATTACGACTCAATGCGGCTCGGCCACCTGCACCTAGGTCTTGTTCTCGCCAACCCCGGCCGCAGAGAATGGTCCAATTCATCATCACTCGTTTCACAAAGTCTTCAACTTCTTCTCGATCCTCGTCAGCCCTTGGAAATGCCGTTTCAGTCAGGATAAGCGCTCGATAGGCGGCTTCTGTCTGCTTGATCTCCAGTCGAAGTTGGGCTCGGGCAGGTAGATCGGCTGAGATGGTGTCCACATGACCTCCTGCGTAAGGTAAGTCGTTTTCTAAAATGCGAGACAGTGCTTCGTAATATTCCGCCCATATCCTTCGCCGGGGAACAGAGCCTTTGAAACCGAATCCGCCAGTGATTGGAGCTCCCATTACATTCCAGTACCTCGCCCAGGCTCGGAAGCTTGCGAGTGAGTTAGGGTCGTCGAGATTTAGCTCTTCGTTTTCTACGGCCTGGCTAGACAGCATGCAATATTCTGTTAAGAACAATTCTGACCAGTACCGCAACTGCTTCCTCACGCCATGGCCACACCAAACTCCACTTAAAGATGGGGTCCCAGCTCTTAGAGCTGAGAGAGCTTCTGGTCTCTGGTCGTTCCGCATTAAGCAATTAGCTTTCAGATAGGCAGACTTGAGGGCACACAGGTTGGTCCATTCAGAAACCGTATCCATTCGTTCCTGCGAGATGCCTTCCGCTTCAAGGCTACCAGGGAGGTTTGCCATGGTGTCGTTATATTCTCCAACCACCCAGTGCAGCCAGCCCATGCAGACTTTGGCCTGAAATC